CCCGAAGATTACAGCTATCTAAGCGATGCATATGTTACATCCGTGGCCTCGAAACCTTACTCAAAGGACCCTACCGTACGACGACCACTTGAGGTAAGGGGATTGATACCTTGCGTCTCCTCATTGATCAAACTTCATGAAGAGTACTGATGATTCCAGTCAATCACACTCACTATTTCGTTTATCTAACTTTCACAACTGGTGCGAATACAGTATACCTTGGAGAAGTTGAATCACGTCATGCATTGGCGCGAAGAGGCCGGTGCACCCGATATGATCAATTTGGTTGACTTGGCCAACGGTCCAGAATCTGCACCCGAAGCATTGGAAGACCCAGAACGATTGGTCAAAGCCAAAGCAATGGTTTACGCACTAAATTATGGATCTCTTTACTGGCACGGTCTTACCAAAGACGGTCGCCCAGTTTTGTGGCTTCGAACCAACCGTAAACCCTGGTACCCCGATGTGGATGCCGAGGTCAACGCTCTGATCTCCATGGCCGATGTTGGAATCAAACATATGCCAGCGGGAGTCACCGACTTTATCTGTGTGTCCGAATCATCGTCTCCGCCTCCTCCAAATCCTACCTTCATGATCAAGATGCTCAAAGCGCTGGTCAAAGGCTACCCCGACCGTTTGAATGTGTTGCTGTCAGCCCCTGTATCAAGCATCGTACAATTTGTGATGAATTTATTGCTCCCATTGATGCCTGGAAGATTGGCGTCAAAGGTTGTATTGCTAGATGTCGAGGGAGCCAAGCCAAAGCTCGCTGAGTTGCTTCTCAATGGGGAAGAAGACATCCCAAACTTCTTTGGTGGACCTTGCAACCACGATGAATACTACCCAGATCCTTCCCAATGCGAAAATCGAGGCCAAGGGACTCTTACCTTCGACTGGTACGGAATGGTAGAGCGACTTGAAAAGGCGAAGAGAGAATTCGAAGCAAAGAAATAATACATGTTAGGGGCAACGTTCTTGAATTTTGTAGTTGCGTACTATTGCAAATTAAAATCAAACGACTGAAATTAGCTKTGAACATGAATTTTATTACAATCAATACTCCCTCTGAATGAATTGAAAGTCAAACGAGACTATCACATCACGTGCGGTGTCATTAGAACAACAAGCACTAAAGCAAAATGAGCAGAAGGCATACCAYAGACCARCACAGCAGGTATCTTCTCTTTCATAGTATCCTTGCACARTGAAAAAGTCGGTCCTACTCAGTTTTGCATTACATAAATTTTAAATTCATAATTTGTTATTTCAATATAACCAACAAGGACTTCTTCTTCTCACTGACACCACTCCACAATTCAATTACAAGCAAATGTGTCATTCCCATAAACATTGAATTGGCTACGGTGCACTGCGCTTCACTACTATCTCTATCTTTAGTGCGCGTAGCCACTAACTTTGAAGAATTCTTACAGCCCTGGACTTACCGAGGAAACAAAAAGGTATTTTTTCTTTAGTGTAGATTTGTACAAACCCCAGTATATTAATTTTTGCAAATAAATTAGTACCTTTACCAAAATAAATTATTTCATTTTTAACTTAAACATTCAGTCATTATTGTGACAACAAGTCATTCTACTAGTAGTAATAACCTAGTTTTTGCACCGTAGTAAGTTTTTTTGGCCGCCGCCATCCTTCAAAAAAAAACCAAGGCGGCGGCCGCAACCAATCTATGTAATTACATTTAATTTTCAGTTGTACATGCATAGAAATATGTATTTTTGACACAAATACATAGATTTTAGGTTCATGCAGGCTCACTTCAAACCAAAGTATGTATGCAYGCCCATACTTTTTGAGAATCCTGGATTCAAAAAATTGTAAGTCACGAAGAGGGGGGATAGCCCAAATTGGTGCTTCAAAACAAATCTATAGTGTTGCCACTATTCTCAAAAGGAGCCGGGGGAGCCAAAAATGGTGCACCAAAAAATATCTAAAGTGTCACAATTGGARTGTCACTAGCAGCCCAAAACAAATCTAAGAACTGCAAAAAGATAGCTGTAGCAGCATCAAATGGACCTCAGTGTGTGCTGACAAGAACCATGGACATACTAAAAAGACTATTTTGCTGAAAATTGATCATCCTTTGTGTAGCTCTCCACTTTGAGCTAGATGTGCAGGCCAATTTATCTCTAGAAGAGAGGCATTGTAGAGATAGGATTGCTATCAGGAGACACAATCAGTTGCCATTCCTCCACTTCTTTAGTTCTGGCAATGGGCAAGCTCTTCTACCTGTTGTGGTGTAGACCAAAGGGTCTTCAGAGGTCTCCTTGCACTCTATTCACCAGTATTCAACATCATGTACATGATTGATGAAGCAACAGGCCATATAAGAAGAAGATTGTTCCACATGAATGGAATGTCAAGGAGATGCCATAGAGAAGCAAGAAATGCCTTGTGTTGTCTTGGATTAACCCTGYACTGGTTCAGGACCCATGGTTAAGTAGCAAGAGGCCTATCCATGGTATTTGGACTGCTCATKTAGACTGTCATGYACAAGTGGATCAAGTTCTCCAGGTGTGTTCTCCTCTTTGTATTGCAAGACCATATGCCAGACTCAGAGCCTGCCAGAKATGATATCTATGCTTCTATATTGTAGCTATTGGTGAAAAATGCCCAATCATTGGAGAGCAAATGGTCTGGGGAGCTGCAGATAGCCTCAAGCTTGGATTGCAGACCTCATTGAACTGGRCAGTAGCCCAGGATCTTGGCATGATAGYACCATGTCCTCAGAGTATGGAATCTACAGAAAGATGGAGCAGATGTACAACTTGTATGGAGCAAACAAGGTTGTGGTTGATTCAGCATTCAGTGTGATTGGCAAGCCATAGCTTGTCCGGAGCTCACAAAAGGATCCAGATATGGGACGAGTCRATGGCACCAGAAGAGGTTCTCCCTTGCATCACAACAAAGATGCAGCAATACACCAACAATACAACAATATAAACAAAGGACAATTCCCATGGTCAACAACCTGCCATTTTCAATCAATACATCAGCACAACTAAACAAGTTTAAACTAATTCATATCCTCACAATGGGAGCTAATATTGAGCTGAGCAAAGAGCAAAGAAAGCTACATGTTATACTGTGTTAAGTTTGATTTTGCAAGCARCAATACTTCAAAGGTTCACATGATYCATTGATGTGTGGAAGCGCCAGTTTAAGAGTTGAAGTGTTAAGAAGGCATTAAATTAATAGTATACATGTTKAATAAAGAAATGATCATTTGATTCCATAATAATGAGGTGGGAATAAATGCTTAAAAAATATACACTTTGAATGAGCAATACATGTTTGAGTATTCTTAGGCATTGTAAGACTCGAAAATTCAAAAATAACATGGAATACTGCAAGTGCAATAAGCAATGTATAGTAGTCACTGTACCGGTATTTAATTCAGCACTTTCATCCCCCATAATCCAGCAGCAGCAGCAGCAGCAGTCAGTATAGCAAACTAAATTAAAGATGTGAATTAGTAATTAGAAACAYAAATTAAATGTAGTAAAAAATTATAATGGTGACAATCAACAAGGGGATTCCTTAATCAGAATTGGATGAAGAATTGTTGCTGCTGCTGTCATATTGCTGGCAGCGGCGCACCTTGTTTCTGCTGGCTTTGGGACTGAAGTGCTGCATGACAATGGTGACAATAGATCCAAGAGCACTTCCAATTGTCTGGTAGGCCTCCTTCCTTTCTTCCCTGGTTCTAATATCAGCTCTCTCATGCTGAGCAACAACTTGCTGCAAGGCATTCACAATGCCATGATTTGYAGTGACAGTGTTGTACAAATGAACTTGGGAGGCTCTCCTTGGTGTTGATACAGCTTTTRCAGTCACAGTTGCATCAACAGCTGTGTTATTGCTGRTGGTAGTCTCCTGAGTCTCTTCCTGCCAAGTAAGTTCTTGCAAATCTTCTGTTTCTTGTGAGGAAGCTTAATGGAGTGGTGCTGTGGCTGGAGATGCATCCTTGTTGTTGTCTTTGGTGTTGTTGCCATTGTTCCTGTTRCAACTAAGAACATTGCTGCTGTTGCTGTTTCCAGGAGCTTGATGATTACCCTCCTCAGGATCACCATTGCAACCCTCTTGATGCGWATATCCATCTTCAATATCAAAGTGCACCTCTTCATCTCCAATGTCAGCCTTCTCTAGTACAATCAAGAACTTGGCCCTCTTGGCCAGTTGCACTGCSAAAGGACAGTTTGGAACTTCAGATGAATATGTGATGTACTTCCTACAGATAGAGGAGACATCCCTTTTGGCATGAGGATAGTGCTGAGCATGAGTTGCTAGTACTTCATTCCACTGATCAGCCCCAATAGGAAGCCTTGCCAAGATGTCATACATCAAGTCAATGGTTTCCTGAGTGGTATAGTTGCTTGTTGTTTGAGACCTCCTGCCTCCTCCTCCTCTTGGTGCTGGCRCTTGCTSCTGTTGTGTTWAAACTGTCTTTTGGCATCAAYGATGTTGTTTTTTGTGTCTGGAATCAATGCCTCAARCTACATGCTGCAATTTGCTACATTCCAAGCAGTTCCTCCTCCCCAGGGGAAGGGTGTTCTGGGGGTTCTCACCACGAGTYCATCAGGGTTGTTCTTCCTTGGCATCAATGTCCTTTTATTGAGGATACTAGCTAGTAGTAGATAAGAATTCCTTGTTACCAAGTACTTTGGAGTTTTTTGGTGACTCACGGTTCACCTGGAATTTTGGATTTATTTTGGTGTGCTTGCTGGCACCATGTGTTCTCAACAATACTTAGTGTTTTTGGYACAATGCTGCCCTGTGTTACTTAGTCCTGGCACCATGTGTTCTCCATATTTGGCAAGAAGACTGCAGTTGTTTTCTGGTGTTACTACTAGTAGTACTACTAATTTCAAGAAAAAATCCTCATTCCAAAATTAAGCACATGTAGCATGCCATAATCGTCACACCTTGTTGGTCTCTCATACTAAGTACTACTACTGTTACTAGTAGTACTATTACTAGACGAACTGATGGAGTGCTGGTGGGTGAGGTTGTTGTTGTGGTTGTATAGCATACTACTACTACTATGCATATGCTGTATGTGCGCACCGAGTTCACTATGCATCCTCCGGAATGACTCACAACCRAGGCGGCGCCAAGGTATCCACCAGATATTGGATAAGGTGAAAGAGGTGATTTTATTTCCTAACCCCTTTTTATCTATCGAGAAAACAATTACTGTACTGTAAAGGATGGTACGGTAKGGTACTAAAAAGAAAAGATCACAGTCGATGCTGTTCGAATGCTCTTCCTCCGTGGGCTACCGGTACGTACGGTACCTACKGTACGAGTACCAGTACATTCTAGTCTTCACAACTATCGTGCCGTGCGATACGGTGCGTACGGTACTGTACGATAACCGACGACTCGCAGTTGGGCCGATCGCAAGACAGAAGCCGTACAGGTACTGACTGTACTTGTACTTGTACTCGTACTTTTTATTTTTTTTGATGAATAAAACGATCACATCAACTGAAACAAATCAATACGTAACAATTCTGAAGAGGGAGTAATCGAACCAGAGCAGAACTTGTAGACCATGGAAAGATTGCATCAACTAATGCGAGGCATGCCCGGAGCTGGCGGCCTTGGAGCCGGCGCTGGTTCGGATTCGCCGACTCCAGATTGTGCAGAAAAGGTGCACGTTTCTTCACTTGCGCTTCTGAAAATGCTCAAGCACGGAAGAGCTGGGGTTCCGATGGAGGTCATGGGTCTMATGCTAGGTCAATTTGTTGATGATTATACAATCAATTGTGTGGACGTCTTTGCAATGCCTCAGTCAGGAACATCCGTGAGCGTCGAGGCCGTGGACCCGGTGTTTCAAACGAAAATGTTGGATATGCTGAAACAAACGGGACGGCCTGAAATGGTGGTTGGTTGGTACCATTCGCATCCTGGTTTTGGCTGCTGGTTGTCGTCGACCGACATCAACACCCAATCATCCTTCGAAGCTTTGAATAGCAGAGCGGTGGCACTAGTGGTAGATCCAATTCAGTCCGTGAAAGGAAAGGTTGTTATTGATTGTTTTCGACTGATCAATCCACAGCTCATGATGCTCGGGCAAGAGCCACGCCAGACAACAAGCAACATCGGTCATCTACAAAAGCCATCTATTCAAGCGCTCATACATGGATTGAATCGTCACTACTATTCTATTGTGATTGATTATCGCAAGAACGAACTAGAGGAACAAATGCTGATGAATTTGCACAAGCGGAATTGGACGAATGGTCTATCCCTCGAGAAGTTTGAAGACCACCAGCAGTCAAATCAAGACCTTGTCGAAAAAATGCTGAAACTGACCACAGATTACAACGAACGTGTGAAGCAAGAAGAAGGGAAGACCTCGGAACAAATCTTAGTTGACAACGTGGGAAAGATCGATCCGAAAAGACACCTTGAAACTTCGGTCGCAGAACTAATGAGTTCAAATATCATTCAATGCCTAGGCACAATGCTGGATACTGTGGTATTTTAGATGTATCAAACTTTTGAATGCATCGACTGTACCATTCACGCAATTTTCAACTCTCCACTTCGTTCAATGCGAAGCAACRAACATTCAAAAAATCGAATGAAAAGTAATTTCAGAATCTCAATTAAATCAATTTAACCTAGGATTCAATAGGTAAAGATCTTAACACATTCTCTGATGAGGTTACACGTGAAAGAGTAATAGCAAAAACGCACACACAAGCAAATGCACTTTYATTAAATGATTTTGCCAAATGTAGAAGATAGCGAATGGAAAATAAATCCTAGTTGCCACTGTATGAAGTAAAATTGATATCTGGTTGAAAGTTTGCTTAAAAAGCAGTTCTTCTTCAAACATTGTCGTGCATGTGCGTTTTCACAAGTATTTGGGAGAGGTGTACCTTACTCGGAAAGAGAGACACAATGAAAACAMAGAAAACAAATCTGAAAAAATATTTCGGACGAAGTGACCCAGCTCTACTGTGTTACCCTATGATGTTGTGCCTCAATTTCATCAAATACCTCTACGAGAATAAATATCAATGTTTCTTGGGTGGAGACCTTCGACGTCGAAATTCGACCACGAGRTTCCCGTGTTCTGGTCCACCCTTCTTTGGCATTCCCTTCGATGGAATGACTAGAATCTTCCCATTTMGTGGTAAGGGAGTAGATGACTCGTCATGCAAATTCACGGTTTGTGACCAATCCTCTCCCGATGGAAGGAGTAAATTTAATTTTATTTCTTGCTGAGCCTGACCTTCGGAAAAGAAACATGTGTAGTGCAAATCATCTCCTTCTCGTCGGAGATACTCATGCGGCAATTCCTCAATCACAAATATCATCGTTGGGATCTTGTTCTTTCCCTGGAATATGACTTTCGTACCGTCCTTCCATCCAGGCTTGAGATTGATGTCATAAACTTTCTCTTTGCCCTGAAATTTTATTTTAAATTTTTTGGATTTTCCAACGGCAAGCTCTTCCAGTGTACAACGGACACGATGGGTGTATGATTTCATCTTCTTTCCCTCTGAAGATGAGGGTCCTCTTSCTGATCGCTTCTCGAATTGATCGGTTCCCACCGCCTCACCCCCCATCATTTCTTTAATTATTTCAGAAAGATCTATGTTTCCCGTTGCATCCCCAAAGGAAAAGCTTTGACGAGACCCTCTAAAATTGTTCGTGGAAGAAAAGAAATTTTSGAAGGCGTTTCCATTACTGCTACTTCCGAAAGGGTTGGCCCCCGAAAATCCATTGGGAGCCGATCCATTCTCCACACCGGCTTCGCCATATATATCGTAYGTTTTTCGTCTTTCTTCGTCGGATAAGGTTTCGTACGCTTTCGATACTTCCTTAAACTTCTCCTCGTCTCCGCCCTTATCTGGATGCAATCGAAGTGCAAGCTTCCTGTAYGCTTTTTTAATTTCTTTTTGGTCTGCCGATYTGGAGACCCCTAGCACATCGTAATACGAGGGGTTTGGGGAAGGATAACTGCTGCGTCCACCAACGCCCCGACCATTGCTGCTTGCTTGGACGTTCTGAAGGCACTGAAAGTCGAAGACAAAAAAAACGACAAACAAACTGAAAAGCAAGCCAAAAATTCSACGACTGCTTCGGCATTCGGATCGATACCCCATTAGAATTAGTAAAGGCTCGCTCCCGCTCCTCGGAATGTGTTGGGAAGTTATCTGCCCTCGTGTCAAATATCAAGAAGTCCGTGCTCAGGAAGACTTCCAACAGGATTTCGAAGCTGGGAGAAATTTGGTTACGCTTGTGCGAGTATCGTACTTCTACAGAGCAATTTGTTAGTTTTAACTTTTTCCCGTCTCCGCCCAAATCGTGCATTTTTTGGAATTTTTTTGGAATTTTTTTGGAGTTTCCATTAATTTTCACTTGTGTAGACTTCAGTACAAATCCTACACAAAATAAGACTGAAATACCAAAAAGAGTTTTAAACAATTACTTTATATAAAACACCTT